AAAATAAAATAAAATAAAATAAAATAAAAAAGCCCTTTCGGGCCCGGCACGATGGCACAGTGGTTAAGGTCCTCACCTTGAACGCCTGGGATCCCATATGGGCGCCGGTTCTAATCCAGGCAGCCCCTCTTCCCATCCAGCTCCCTGCCTGTGGCCTGGGAAAGCCGTTGAGGACGGCCCAGGGCTTTGGGACCCTGCACCCGTGTGGGAGAACCAGAAGAGGCTCCTGGCTTCAGATTGGCTCAGATCCGGCCGTTGTGGCCGTATGGGGAGTGAATCATGGGACGGAAGATCTTCCTCTCTGTCTCTCCTCTCTGTATATCCGCCTTTCCAATAAAAATAAATAAATCTTTTTTAAAAAACCCCTTTCAATATTATATCCATAGTTTAAGAAAACTATGGTCTGCGAAAGCAGACGAGGACAGCCCAAAGCTTTGGGACCCTGCACCTGTGTGGGAGACCCGGAAGAAGTTCCTGGCTCCTGGCTTCGGATCGGCATAGCATTGGGCATTGGGGAGTGAATCATCGGATGGAAGATCTTCCTCTTTGTCTCTCCTCCTCTCTGTATATCTGACTTTCCAATAAATAAATAAATCTTAAAAAAAAAAAGAAAGAAAACGAGCATTTTTGTTTGAAATAGTTGGAAAACACACCAAGGAAAAGAAATGAAACATAAAATGAACTTTGAGGGTCAGATATAGTGGCTGATAGAAAAATCGATGGAGAAAGGAGTAAAACATTTCAGACAGAAATAAGAAAAGAAAAAAGAGCACAAAAGGGAACAGAAAGATAAGATACGTTTGGGAAAAAGTGGGAGCAAGAAAACCAGCTGAACTAGTAAGAGCAGAAATTTTGCAACAGCATAGAAAAAAAAAAAAATTACCAGGGATTTGTTCTACTTTCCTGAGAATTAAAGCACACAGAAAAAGCAACAGGCTGAAGGGTACCCTCCCATTGCTCGCTCAGACATTTTGTTTATTCATTTTTCTTTTTTTTAGTTTTGAAAACTTTATCACAAGTTGACAGACACATTAGGTTTAAATGCTGTAATATATATAGATAGATAGATAGATAGTTTTCTTTATCCTGACATCTTGCACCTGTCCTACAAATGAAGCATTTTCATCAATCCAAGATACATTTTTGGTCATTATCTCTAAAATCAGGGCTTTATCCCAACATTGCATGAAATTCTGCTTGGAATCTTCTGTCCAGATGTAGCTCCTTGACAACAGCTGTTCTTGCTTAGTCAGGTTTATAGATAAATACCTAGCAAGGCAATCCCTCTACTTAAGGAAAATGAGGCCCAAAGGAAAGCTTATCAGAACACACCTGCACGACTGCTAACCAGTGTTATTTAAGCCACTTCTAATGAGGTTATGTAAACTTGTCATGTAGCAATGGGAAATTAGTAAACTTCGAAGATTATAAAGTGCATTTTTTTTTTTTTTTTTTACTATTTGAGTTACACAGAACACACATGAAGAAAAAGAGAGAAAGCCTACTTACTTTCTAAGACTTTCGTAGAATGGCATTATTCTGCTCAGGAGAGCAGCTCCCTCCTGATGTAAACACTTCCCAGTAGGCCCCATCTCCCACCACTGTGGCCCTGGGGATTCAATTTCCAATACAAGAATGTGGGGCAATGCATTCAGATCTTGGACATGATGTTTGACACTGTGTGATGTTTTGTAATACAGCATAGGGCTTCGCATTACAAAGCATTTTTAAAATTTTAAATACTTTTTAAAAATTATTTATTCTTACTAGAGAGGCAGATCAGATTTATGGAGAGGAGAGACACAGAGAAAGATCTTGCATCCACTGATTCACTCCCAAGATGGAGAGAAAAGCTGAAGCTGAGCTGATCCTAATCCAGGAGCTTCTTCCAAGTCACCCACATGGATTCAGGTCCCAAGGCTTTGGGCCATCCTCTGACTGCTTTCCCAGGTCATAAGCAGACAGCTGCATGGGACGTGGAGCAGCTGGGATACAAACTAGTGCCCATATGGGATCCCGGCATTTGCAAATTGACGATTTCGCCACTGAACCATTGTGTGAGGCACAATATGGTGGTTTTAAATAAGTATTTCAAAAATGGTTTTTCTTTTATACAGAACAGGATTTGACTTCTCCAAACACATACTGATATTTAAAGCTCCATTTTTTTTTATTCTTATATTTTCACTGGAAAGGCAGATATCCACAGAGAGGAGAGACCAAGATGTTCCAACCGCTGGGTCACTTCCTTAGTGGCCACAACAGCTGGCACTTAGCTGATCCAAAGCCAAGAGCCAGGAGCTTCCCCTATGCCTCCCATAGGGGTGCAGGATCCCAAGAGCTTGGATCATCCTCCACTGCTTTCCCAGGCCACAAGCAGGGTGCTAGATGGAAAATAAAAGCAGCAGGGGCATAAACTGACATCCAGATGGGATCCTGGTACTTGGATGTGGAGGATTAGTCTGTTGAGATACTGTGCCACACTGTAAACTAAGTTGTATAGAGGGCACTATGGTTAATATTAATGGTTAATGCTGCAGGCAGTTTGTAAAGAAAATAGTGTGACTTGAACTGGAATCTTGAGTTCACAGACTGCTGGAGCAAAGACCGAGGTTGAATTCTATAGGCAATGATTTGCTAGTAGACAAAAACCCAACACCAATGCCGAGGCCTGTGGGTGAGGATCTGCAGCTGGGCAATGATCTAAGGCCACAGGACTGTGCGTTAGAATATACTTGAGTCACATACTGACTTCTGTACATGGGTCACAGTGTTGCTGCCTGTTCATCAAGCGTTGGCTGGTTATCAATATGGAACATAGTTATCAATGTCTGTGCCGCATTGATTTCTGTAATTTGGTTCCCCAAGCAGTTCAATAAAAAGTTTGAGGCAGCAAAGCCTTTTAGGCCAACCTCCTTCTTCAGAGAAGGGTGTTTCCATAGTCTTTACTTTGTATCTTTCTCCTTTTAAAAAAGTTCTCAATAGCACATCACCCCCTCTCCAACCCTGTTCTTGTTACTGTTCTGGTCGCAATAGTTAGTGGATCAAAGCTGGAGGTTTCATCCAATCCCTTATATTGTCTGAGACATGAACCTAGTGGGAGTTCATAAGGGCTTGCCCTCAGAAGCTAGCTCTCATGAGAAGGCTGGTTATGGAGACTGAACTCGCTTCCTGACTCAATACAGGACTGTCCCTCTGCCATCTGCAAGTCTTACCAGATGCCAAGCCAATGGTGAATGTAAACTTGTTGGAGACCAGCTCCAGCTGAGTTCGGAGGGAAGAGAAGACAGGCAGAGACTTGGACCACTACAGCGTGATGCTCATAATGGACAACTCAAAAAAGCTCTCTTCTTTATTTACACAGAAATCATTACAAGCTTTTGCACAACATCCAATTGTTTCATTTTTACTTCATGTTTACAAAAACAATTCTTAAAAAAATCATTATTATTTTACTTCAAAGAAAACATTTTCCACAAACCATTACTCATTCAAACCTGCAGTCACCAGGTGCCTGAAGCCAAGACCTGCACGGTTGGCAGCATATGCAGTTACATAGTGACAAGTGGTTCACTTATATCCAAAATCAGTTTTCACTAGATCTAAACAAATATTACTTAAAATATCAAGACTACAGAATTAAAAAGAAAGCTCATAAATGAATTTGTAAAGGCATATATCATATTCTTTATTAAATCGTATAAACAATCATATACTAATTACCATCACCTTCACCTAGTACTGATTCAATTGTTTCTGTTCCTTTGTTAAAGGGCAGTGAACAGGATCAGGGCAACTCAGCCTCTCTATGAACAGAGGACCTTTACAAGAAACGTCTTTTTATCTTCTTAAACTGTTTTCTTTCCCTACATGTAAGTGTCAATATAAGGTGAAAGTTTTAAATCATTTTTCTTTGGGGGTTCACATTTGTCTCCCTTTAGAAGATGCCCCATATACTTTGTGCTTGCCATTGTGAGAAACCAAAATGCGTCTTTTCATGTGTTGCAACAGTTCGAGGCTGCACGGTGAACAAACTTGTTGTACCTCCACGACTGTCATCTATTCCAACATATTATGAAACCATTTCTTAAGTAAAACATTACCTACATTAGGACAAACTCCGGGACAAAGGCAGCCACATAACAAGATGTTTGGGGACAAGGTTGGCTCAATTATACAATTGTATGCTTTAGCTGTGTGTCATTGCCTTAAGTTGCTAAAGACCCTTTTACCATAACATGATTGTTCAGTTTGAGGTGTTATACCAGTTACAGGAACCATTTCACATTTACAGAAAAAATAACATCTTCAGGAGAATTCTATGAAACATCAGAGAAGTGATCGAGTGTCCACACAATGGGGTGAGGCAGCAATACGGTGCCCAGAGACGTTCTGCCGGGCCTTGCCAGCAGAAACTCCTGGTGCCGGGTCACACCCTCACTCCACCTGTCACGACTGCATGGCTTCCCGCATAAACTGAAATACACCTTCCTTCCTTTCGCAGAAGCTCCTTTCCCACACTTAATTTTGCTTTCTCCTCACCACTCTTTGGAAGGACGGCCAGACAGCGGTCCGGCTTCACCCTCTTTAAGCCCTGACCAGCAGGACTCCCTCCACTACACTACACCAAGAGGTATGTCGTCCACACCCGGACTCCAGGCTCCCGACGCCTGACGTCAGCACGTAGTCTCCGCAGCGCCTTGGCCACGCCCAGGCCGCCGCTCAGGCCCGATTGGCTACCAGAGCAGGAGCCAGAGCGCGATTGGCCCACACCCGGAGAACGGCTGCTCGTCCGCTCCCCGCCCTCAGTCGCCGGTCTTCACCTCAGCGGAGCCAGGGGGTAAGCGGATGACCAGTCATGGTTAACAGCTAATGGCTGGCGACCCAGAGTCTCGCCGCGTGCCTAGGGCTCCAGCACACCTGCTAGAGCCCGAGTTCTAGAAAGTGGTGCCACCGCGCGACTGCCTGGCGCGACCGTGACGCCCGTTGGGCGTCAGCGCCGATTGGCTGGCAGTATGTGGCGTGGCCCGGCGCTGGCGCGGGCGATTGGCTCCCTTCTCAAGGGGCGGAGCCTGGGGGCGGTACGCTGCGCGAGCGGCGCTCAAATGGGGCGCGCGCCCCAGCGTCCCCGGACCCTCAGCTTAAGGTACGGGTATGTCCAGATGCGGGGCGGCCCGGGGCGAGCCGGCGGGGCTGGGGACTGGGGAACCGGGTGGACTGAGCGACCGGAGGACTGGGGCCGAGGGGAGCCGCCGGGGCAGGGGATTGGGGGACCGAGGGACTGGGGTACTGGGGCCAAGGGGAACTGGCGGGGCCGAGGGTTCGGGGGACTGGGGCCGAGATGAGCCGGCGGAGCTAGGGACTAGGAGCCTTGGGGGTCCGGGGCACTGGGGCCGGCGGGGCACAGGCGCCTGGCATTGGGGCGGACACCCCCGCAGCACTTCTGCCCTGGGTGGCTGGTACTGCCGGCTGGTGAGGCCGGTGGCCCGCTCTGGGACGCCCGGGTCTGGAGGGGAGGTTCGGTCCCCCACGGGGTAGTGGATGTGCGGGGTCCTCTGCAGGGCTTCTGCGGAGCTAGGGAGGGCTTGTCAGGAAGTGTGAGGACTAGGGATTAAGGAAGGTGCACCTTCAGAAAGGATACTGAGGTCGTGATAGGGATTCCCTTGGTTTTTCTCCTAGGATGTGTGTAGGTTAGTTCTCCAAGTTGGGTGAGAAGGCTTGGGGGCGGGGGAGGGGGGTTTGGTGGTTGCTAAAACTCCACGTGCCTTTTAAAAAGGTTTTGGGGCCTGAGTCTGCAGCAGTTGGGAAGTCAGACATTTGTAACTTTTAGGTATTTTAAGACTTTACAGTTTTCCCCCAGTGACTTAAGCAGTGGAAAGAGCCATCGTCTACAAATACAGACAGTTGAACTTTAGTAAAATGTGGAACCTGAAATCAAGTCTCAGAAGAGTAGGGAATTGTTCACTCCTGTCTTTATAGTTGGTTAAAAACAAGCGTGGACAACATATCGTGTATCCTGAAACCTGTGCATGCAGTGTACAAGAACATACAGATCACTCATGCTCACACGTACCAGGGTGCATACCACTTTGTCCGTGTATGAAAATGGTTGCAAAATTCTAGAGACTACTGCAAGTCAGGGAAGAGGAAGAGGTGGGGACCATCACAGCCAGGCCTTTTTCTCAGGCTGTATGGAGTGTTCCTGCGTCCTCTGCAGAATTACCATCATGACATGAATGTAAAAAAAAGTGACTGCTTTGTCTTGTAGTTAGGAATTTCAGACTTAAAGAGCAGTGCAACATAAAACCATTGTGTTCAAAAGCCTGTTAACTGTTAGGATGAAAAGTTGTAGATGCAGCTTTGTAAAATGAGGCTCATTCAGAGGTGGGCTTTTCCCTTCCACAGTGTTTTTTTCCTGTTGAAATCTTTTATTTATTTATTTACTTTTAAAATACATTTTGGAAAGGCAGGTTCTGTAGAGAGAAGAGATGAAGAGAAAGGTCTTCCATCCGTTGTCACTCCCCACGTGGCCACAATGGCCAGAGCTGAGGTGGTCTGAAGCCAGGAGCCAAGAACTTCTTCCAGGTCTCCCACGCGGGTGCAGGGTCCCAAGGCTTTGGGCCATCCTGAACTGCTTTCCCAGGCCACAGGCAGGGAGCTGGATGGAAAGTGGAACAGCTGGGGCACAAACCAGCACCCACATAGGATCATGGTGCTTGCAAGGCGAGGATTTAGACACTGAACCATCATGTCAGGCCTGAAATCTTTGATCATGAATCTTGGTTTTGGTGTTAAACATCATTATTTTGGTTCTTGCCGTCATCCATTGCTCCTGACACCTCTCCCTCTCGGTCAAGGCATAGCCACCCCAGGTCCTGTTGGAGTTTAGAACTTACTTTTAAGGAGCTGTTGCTGTGCTTTGGTACTGAACACCTTGTGTATGTCCTATAGTATGTTCGAGCTCTGTTGGAAATCAGTAATCTGATGCTGTAAAGAAAGCCGTGTACAAAGTGAAACAGAATCTTCTAGCTGAAGCGTTTGGAAAAATGGGTCAAAAGATGCTCCCAAGAATCCAGAAGTTAAAGTGATAGGAGTTACTAATTAGGGATGTGCAAAGAGTATAAGTCAGGATATATAGAATTTTAGTGTAGAAACCACATGAGAGGAATTAATTAGGATTCAGAAAATTAAGCCTTAGAACTGTAGGGTAGGAATGGACTGTGGCCTAGGACCAAATGTGGCCTGTATTGTGAGAACTTTAAAATATTACTTCTTTCATTTTATATAATTCTGCTCTCATTCTGCCACTCACTAGCTCTCTCTTGCTCTCATTCTTTCTCTCTTTCCCTCTCTCATAGAGAGATCATCCCGATCTTTTATCCAGGATCTACTCCAGGTGCTTAGAACAAGCTGGGGCTGGGCCAGGTCAGATTTCAGACCCCATACTGCTTGGGGGTCTTTCCTGGACGGCAGGGCAGCGAGCACTAGGCCGGCCTCTGCTGCCTCACTGCATGCGTTAGCAGGAAGCCGGGGAACACAAACCCCGATCCAGCACTCCGGTCTAGAATGCGGGAGTCCACAGTGCTAACTTCAGCCAGTCTTCCAAATGCTCACTCCAGATGTTTCCAGTTTTAGATGATTGAGAGTGACACTGAAAGCAAACAGGCTGTACCATACAAAAACTAAATGAAATTCAGATTTCTGTATCTGTGAATAAATGTTTCCTAGGACACAGCCATGCTTACTTTACACTTTGCATATGGTTACTTTAGTGCTTGGAAGACAGAAATGGAACCTTCTAGACCTCTATAGAAAATAAGTTGCAGAGCTGTGCTCCAAAACTTTATTTTCTCCGGTTTATCTAGAGTCATATTAACCAGGAATGAGACTTGAGACAACTGACAGAGCAGTCACTTAAGTCATGTTTGTCATGAAGATCCCAGATGAAAAAAGCGCATGAAATCTTCCTGGGACATTTGTTAAATGCTGTTGAATGTTGAGCACATGAATTGGATCTTGAAAAACGGATTTCAGAAATAATGGCCTTCTTGCACACCTACACAGACAGAAGTAGAGGATAAATGTTTGGACTGGCTGTGGAACGGCACAATAGTACAGAAGTTTGTGGAAAAATTGGGACTAGATTATAGGGCCCATACCCGCCTAAGCAATGAAAATATAGACTGAGAAAAGTTGATTAGTAAGTGCTATAGAAGGTTTCTAGGCTCAAGAATTTAGAACATAGAATCAGAAGCCCAGTGGCTAAGTCCTCACCTTGCATGTGCCTTGGATCCCATTTGGGCACCAATTCATATGGCGGCTGCTACACTGCCCATCTACTTTGCTTGTGGCCTGGGAAACAGTAGAGACTGACCCACAGCCCTGGGACCCTGCACCCACTTGGGAGGCCGGGACAAAGTTCTGGGTACGGACCAGTGCAGCTCTGGCCATTGCAGCCACTTGGGGAGTGAACCAGTGGGCAGACAGTCTCTTTCTGCCTCTCCTCCTCTGTAAATCTGCCTTTCCAATAAAAACAAATCTTAAGAAAAATACATTTAGAACATTGAATTTATTAGTTGAGAGTGACTGGGATCCAGCATGATAGCTCAATGGCTAAATCCTCACCTTGTAAAAACTGGGATCTCGTATGGGTGCCACTATGTACCCCAGTTGCTCCACTTCCCATCCTGCCCCATGCTTATGACTTGGGAAAACAGTATAGGACAGCCCAAAGCCTTGGGACCTGGGACCCTGCACCCATGTGGGAGACCGCAAAGAAGCTCCTGACTCGTGGCTTTGGATCAGCACTGGCCACGGTGGCTATTTGGGGAGTGACGCAGTGGATGAAAGATCTTTCTCTCCTCTCTGTAAATCTGATCTGCCTTTCCAATAAAAATAACTGCATCTTTAAAAAAAAAAAAACAACCAGTGTATAAAAAAGAAAATGAGTGACTGGTCGGAAGAGAAGCTGTGATTACCTGTCAGTAGGAGAAATGTGGAGTGCCTGACGGGTGAGCGGTGTTCCTGCAGGAATGCAGTAGGATGAAGAGTGTGCAGTTGCCATAGGAGCGTTAGGCATCCTTCATGACCTTTCAGACAGCGGCATCGTTTCCTGGACTCAGTTCCTGCATTTGCATTTCCAGTGTATATCTGACACCTCTCCTCTTTCCTTTTGATATTAGTACTCTAGGCCAAATCAGATATACTGCAACGATGCCTGAAATACGTACTGACCATCTTGATGAGCAGCAAGTCCAGCTTTTGGCGGAGATGTGTATTCTGATTGATGAAAATGACAACAAAATTGGGGCTGAGACCAAGAAGAACTGCCACCTGAATGAAAACATTGAGAAAGGTATTGTTTTAAAATAATCTTTGTGGGAAAGTGATTTGCCTAGGCATTTGGAATTAGCTGAGAAACACGCTCTAGTAAAAGAGAAAGTCATTCCTAAATATTTAATCTTGGTTACAACTAGTTAAACAGAGTGGTAATAAAACCCAGCTTGCCCCCTGTGTAGTAGCTGTTCCTTTGTGCCTCATGTCTTTTGTTCAACTTGTTCAATTATTTTGCTTTTGTAAGAGAGACTGGGCTGATCCTGACATATTAGCTGTTTTAAGCCTGTGTGTTTTTCTGATGAATGGGGAAAGAATAGATATCCCCCACAGAGATATGCCTTTGCACAGTCCCGGGACTGAAGACTGACTGGACAGGGGCTCAGTCTTGAAAGGGGATGTGGCAGGATCACCATGCCTTCCACTTGGCTGCCCTACTCTGCTGTGCCAAAGTGCTTCTCCAGAGCCATGTTGAAACCCAGATAGAGTAAAAAGACAGTGACGGTGTTAATTTGAACCACAAGGGGAACAAGGGGCAAATGACTGGCATTTGTGATAAAATTGATCATGCTGCTTTTGTTGTCAGGATTATTGCATCGCGCATTTAGTGTCTTCTTGTTCAATACTGAAAATAAGCTCCTACTGCAGCAGCGATCAGACGCTAAAATTACCTTTCCAGGTCAGTATGCTTAATGTACACTGGCGCTTGTGTTGGGAACTATATTGATTTTGAGTTTTTATTACTCTGAATTTCCTGGAGCAAATGTCAAAAAGAAACTTTTTAAATGATCCAGCTTTGTGTAAGTTTGTGTAATGAGTACAACCAGATAAACCAAAGAGAAGCAAGGATACTATAAAATATATGATTATGTAAGTATTGTGGCACTGGAGCTCCAAAATACATGAATGGTTAAACAACAAGAGTGTATGCATGTACTCCTTTGTATGTTTTTTTTAAAGATTTATTTATTGGAAAGGCAGATATACAGAGAGGAGGAGAGATGGAGAGGAAGATCTTCGGTCCAGTGGTTCACTCCCCAAGTGAGTGCAATGGCTGAAGCTGAACCAATCCGAAGCCAGGAGCTGGGAGCTTCTTCCAGGTCTCCCATGCAGGTGCAGGGTCCCAAGGCTTTGGGCCATCCTTGACTACTTTCCCAGGCCACAAGCATGGAGCTGGATGGGAAGTGGAGCTGCCGGGGTAGAACCGGCAACCATATGGGATCCCGGCGCGTGCAGGGCGAGGACCTTAACCACTATGCTATTGTGCCGGGCCCCGCATTTGTGTTTTTGCAATCAGTATCTTCATACATTCTGATCTTTTTGGCCAAGTATTCATTTAGTAAAGAGCTTACTTTAGGGGCTGGCGTCCTCTGCCTCCAAGTGCCAGCATGCACTGGTTCATGTCCCAGCTGCTCTGTTTCCTACCCTGCTCCCTTCTTATGAACTGGGAAAGCAGCAAAGAATGTTCCCAAACTTTGGGCCTTGTACCCACCTGGGAGACCCAGAGGAAGTTCCTGGCTCCTGACTATCCGTAGCTGCCTTTTGGTAGTGAACCAGTGGATGGAAGATCTTTATATTTCTGTCCCTCCTTTTCACTGTAAATCTGCCTTTCAAATAAAAATGTTTAAAAAGGTCCAATTGTTTATTTTCAAAATAATTATTGACTTAAAAACCCTAAAATATTCTGTGTTTTTAGGAGTTTTTCTCAGTCTTTGAGACCTACTTTGAGTAAAAGCTCATCTCTACTCATATTTTCCAGGTTGCTTTACCAATACGTGTTGTAGTCATCCATTAAGTAATCCACGCGAACTAGAAGAAAATGATGCCATTGGAGTGAGAAGAGCGGCGCAGAGGCGTTTAAAGGCTGAGTTAGGAATTCCCATGGAAGAGGTAACTATTATTGCATGTCAAACAGGCTGAAATCTAAGTATACAATAACATATTTTTTCAACAATTTTAAGTGTAAGTGTAGGTGTCTGCTTTGTTCCAGAAGCCACTGCCATAAAGGAGTTTTGTTTTAATTTTTACTGTTACTCTCTTCCGCAAATTCCTTCATCTGCCAGGGTTGGGTTGGGCTAATGCCGGAGTTGGGAGCCAGATCCAGGTCTCCCTTCCTGGTTGGTAGGAGTCTTCATTAGGAATTCCAACATGGAATGGGGGCTGCTCAACCTGCACTGTAACCCACCAGGCCAAGGGCCTACTCAGGTGATTTGAATGTTGATTTCTTAAAATCAGTTATTTATCACATATTTAGCCAAGTTTTACAGTGCGTTGATCTGTTAAGCAGTATATAAGGTTAACAGTTTATATACCTGATCAAGTCAAAGATGAGTGTTTGCTTCTGGAAATCATTAGGAATACAATCTTCAAGTTTGAGTGAATCGGAATAATCTTTTTTTTTTTTTTTTTCAGATTAGACCCCTATGGGTGATTCATAAAATGTTTCGTTAATATTGTAATTTTTCTCCTTCAAAAACTTACCTGAAATCATGATGAGGAGGTCTGGTGCGATAGTTTAGTGGTTAAAGTCCTCACCTTGTACTCCAGGATCCCATATGGGCGCTGGTTCTAATCCCGGCAGCTCCACTTCCCATCCAGCTCCCTGCTTGTAGCCTGGGAAAGCAGTTGAGGACAGCCCAAAGCCTTGGATCCTGCACCCGCGTGGGAGACCTGGAAGAAGCTCCCTGCTCCCACCTTCAGATTGGCGCAGAACCACCCATTGTGGCCGCTTGGGGAGTGGATCATCACACAGATTTTCCTCTCTGTCTCTACTCTCTGTACATCTGACTTTCCAATGAAAATAAATAAATCTTTAAAAAAAAAGTATGAGTTAGGAGAATGTTACATTTCTAGCTTAAGTGATCTTTTTTTTTTTTTTTTTGTGCTTTAAAAAAAAGCAACTTATGGTTGGTGCCAGCAAAACAATTTAGATACTTTAAAATTAACAATACAATAAATTTGCCAGAAATCTCGCATAGATTAATACTAAATTTTAATTCTAAAACTGTTGCCCTTGCTTAAGACATTGTTGAAATGTGAGTTGATTTTAGGTTACATCTTACAATTGCTTGTTTTTAATAGCTGTTTCGTCGTGTTCTGTTTTTATGTCCTAGGTTCCTCCAGAAGAAATAAATTACCTAACACGAATTCACTACAAAGCCCAGTCAGATGGAATTTGGGGTGAACATGAAATCGATTACATTTTGTTTGTGAGGAAGGATGTAACTTTGAACCCCGATCCCAATGAGATTAAAAGCTATTGTTACTTGTCGAAAGATGAACTGAAAGAACTTTTGAAACAAGCAGCCAGTGGTGAAATTAAGATAACTCCATGGTTTCAGATTGTTGCAGAGACTTTTCTCTTCAAATGGTGGGACAACCTAAGCTGTTTGAGTCAGTTTGTTGACCATGAGAAAATACATAGGATGTGAATGTGCAGATGGCTGGTCATTGAACATGTGCTCTGTCCCGGAAACTAGAATGGTTTTGTTTGTTTCAAATTGGTTTTTCTATTAGAATGCTCCTACGGTACATTGCTGTTTTCTACAATCAGAATTTGTGTGGGAAAAACGGCTGATTTACGCTTTGTATTGCCTACTCTACTCCATATGCACTATTACTTGCGTTTATTTATGCATAATGAGAGAACAAATAAGAATCTGCCCGAAAGTGCTGATGAGAAATCTGAACAAGTAAGCGAAGCTGGTGGGGACGTGCTGTAGCAATACACATTTCTGCAGTAATTCACTGTCTGCCGATGCTCGCTGCAGGGTTTTTTGTAATAATCCAGAAAAATGAGCGGAAGAACCAACCTAGTTACCTCAGAAGCGTTCTAATTAACTTTGCATATGAACAGATTAAACTGGCAAAGCAGGTTACAGGGAATTTGAAGAGTATATAATCATCCCTCCATAAAAAAATCCAGAGGCAAGCACTGTGTTAGAGCAGGTGAAGCTGCCACTCAGAGTGGCCACACCACACCGCCCGGCCCGTACTTCCAGTGCAAGAGATGATGGCCCAAGCACTTGGGTCCCTGCCACCCACACGGAGACACAGCTGGAGTTCCTAGCTCCGAGCTCCAGTTTGGCCAAGTCCCGACCGTCAGCAGACATTTGGGAAGGGAACCATAGGAAATATTTATTTCTGTTACTCAGCTTTTTAAATACATGTTAATAAATCCATCTCCCTCTCACTGCATATAACCTATGCCTACCCACCCATATTTCTTTAAATCACCTCTAAATTACTTATTCCTAAAACAGTGTAAATAATATACAAATAGTTGTTATGTTGGAGTAAAAAAACAGAAAAGCAAAGTTGTACATGTGATTAATATAGGTGAAGTTCTTTTTCTGAATATTTTGCTCATACATTAATTAAATCTAGGTACAGGATCTTGCAAAATGGAGTTCTTGATTTTGTAGTTTAGTTATTCTGGAAGTAGTGTGATAATGCCAAATGCTGTTTCTGGTAATGGCAATTGGTTAGATTGTCTTAAATAGTAGTTGCCAATTTGTGATGTCCGGGATTGCAGGATTAGAACGGACGACTAGAGTCCTCAACAGGATCTCCCAGCCTTGGCGTTGTCAGCAGTAGGCTGGATAGTTTGCTGTGGTGAGCTGCTCCCTGCATTGTAGGATGTTTAACAGCATCTTGGCCCCACTCAGTGCAACACCCCCTCTCTCCCAAGACAACCAAACCTCTAGTTGCAAGCCACTGTTTTGTAAGGCAGGCCATGTTTCCGGGAGTGCAGTTACAGAATATTTTATTCAGGTTATGGAATTCTTTAAAATTATACCTTAAATAATAATGTACTTTGTGATACTTGAAATCCTAACAGGATGCTAAATGCTATGGATTAATGAATAATGAAGAAAAATAAAAGTTTATTTTAAAGATTTATTTCATTTTTATTGGAAAGTCAGATATACAGAGAGGAGGAAAGACGGAGAGAAAGATCTTCCGTCCAATGATTCACTCCCCAAGTGAGCACAACAGCCAGTGCTGTGCCGATCTGAAGGCAGGAGCCGGGAACCTCTTCCGGGTCTCCCACACGGGTGCAGAGTCTCAAGGCTTTGGGTCGTCCTTGACTGCTTTCCCAAGGCCACAAACATGGAGCTGGATAGGAAGTGGAGCTGCCGGGATTAGAACCAGCACCCATATGGGATCCTAGTGCATTCAAGGCGAGGACTTTAGCTGCTAGGCCATGGTGCTGGGCCCCCCCTTTTTTTCTTAAGATTTATTTTATTTTTATTGGAAAGTCATATATACAGAGAGGATGAGAGACAGATATAAAAATATTTCTTAACAATCTAAATGTCTTGTAAATTAAATAGAATAAATTTTTTCTTAGTAACCCTAAACAGTTCATTGATAATTTCAGGCAACACTATACAGCAAATATTTTATTGAAAAGTTGAAAATAAAGTATGATCTGAATAAATATTTTTAAAACATTTTAGATAATAAATTCATTTTATTTTTGACTCATGTCCATGTGGACCACCAGTTATGGTAGGGACGGATAAGGAATCTGGGAAAGTGGATGAGACAGCTGCCTCCAATCTCCTTTTTTTCTTCTGATATCTGGGGTAAGTGGAGAAGGAAAGGGAGAAGGCCGCTCCCTGCAACCCAACTACATCAGTACCCAGAAACGGGAAGGTCACCCCTGTGTGGAGCATGTTCCAAGGACACTGCTTAAGTGGTTTTGATTGTTCTGAGATACTGTTAATCTCCTTTCTTAAAGGTTCAGGAAATCCTTCCGAAGATCATTGGCTGATATGCTTCACTTTAGAGTCTTGATTCACCCAGATACTTGCTGTCAAAGTTTGGCTAGGGGAACTGTGCAGTTTGCTGTGCCCTCCATGGTATTAGATGTCTTCTGCAGGCCTCAGTGAACTAGTTTTCATGTCCCCTGTGAGTGTCTGAGCATGCACTGACCTTAGCAACCATGGAGACACAATTTTGACAGATGTACTCCGCAGACCACAGATTCTGTGACTTTCAATGTGGTTGGAGTTCTGAGTCCAGTGATCCAGTTGGGGGTCCCCAAAGAAACCTCACCGGAGGTGACCCAGCCTGACTCCTGTGTTTGCCGGCCAGCGTAGATTCTGGCTCATCACATCATCCAAAGCAGCCCACGCACACACTGGTGGTTGCAGTCACCTGGTCAGTTCTGTCCGCAACCCCATCTCATATACATCCAGTGGATGCTGTGGGCCAGCCCATCCCTGCCCACCACCCACTCTGCCCCTACTAGGCCTGCGTCCAGCTCAGATTCCTGTGCATGCTGGTATGTGCCTCAGACTGGTCCAATCTGTCCCACATCCCACTCCACTTTCATACGCATCAATGGGCATTAGATCCTAGCTCAGCCAAACCGACCCCACTATCCAGCCCACTCTCATGATAGCAGATACCACTGCCTGGCCAGCCAGGTCCACCCCCATCCCTGGTTCTTATACTCACCAGTGGAAGTTAAAGTCTATCAGAGAGGTGCCCACAATTCCCCTACAGGCCCCACTTCCATTCCTAGATCTGCCACTTTCCAGGTTGTTCTAGGGTCTAGTCTCACAGCTTGCCCCAAGTCCCTGCATTTGTCAGCTGATGCTGTGGCAAAACTCACCAGCCTGCACTTAACTCTGGCTCATGCATGCAATAGTGGATACGGTCATGTAGCTCAGCCTGACTCTCCCTCTAACCCAGCTAACATACAGGCCAATAGGTGTTGTACCCCTGCCCAGCCTGGTCTGCCCCCAGCCCCAGCTCTCATGTTCACCAGTGGGAACAGTGGCCCAGCAGGGGAACCCTACAGCTTCCCTGCTGTGCTTGCCCCCCATTACAGGTCCTACATGTGCTGATGGGAGCTCCAGCCCACACTGGCATGACTTGCCTCATCTCAGCATTTGCCAGCAGATGCTGTAGCCTGACTCGGCCCGACCTGCCCCCAGCAGGTCATCTCCCTCATGCTGGGAGATGCTGCAACCTTGCCCCGCCCAGCCAGTCTCCAGTCCCTACCCTAATGTGAACTGACTGGTGTTGTGGCCCAACCTGGCCCATCCTGCACTCTGTCCTGGTTTTCACATCTGCCAGTCGATGCCATGGACTGTCCCTACCTGGTCTGTGCCCAGATCGGACCTACATGTATACCTGTTTTTATGGTAACCTGGTTTGGTCTGTGCTGCTCCTAGTCTTAGTTCTTGTGCTCACCTGCAGGGACTGCATCCTTTCAGAGGAGTCCTCAAGATCCTGTATCATGTCACCTCCCATTGGCAGATCTTGAGCACACTGGTGGGTCCTTGGCCCAACCTGACTTGGCCCCTTCCTGTCCTGGTAGGTACAGCAGCCTTGCATGACCAGCCCACACCCGTTTTGTTTCTTAATGTTGGGTGCTATATCCCAACCATGTCTGGCCCTGCCCCAGACCCAGCTCTCATATGGTTCAGTGGGTGCAGAGACCTAGGCCAGGCTGTTTTGTACCCTCCCTGGCTCTCATCAGCACTAGTGGGTGCTGGAGCCTAGCCCAGTCTGGTACATCCCAGACCCAGTCCACACCCATGCCAAGGGTTGCTGCAGCCATGTCCAGCCTAGTTTGCCACCCCATTCCACCTATCATGACCACTAGTGGGAACTACAGCCCAGCAGAGGCATCCCCTTAGCTCCCTGACAAGCTTGCTCCCAGCCACAGTTCTTGCACATGCCAGTTGTTGCTCTGACTCAGCTCAGCGTAGCCCATCCACTGTCTTGGCCTTAAACATTGGATGCTGCAGCCTGACCTGTTCAGGCCCTCCACCAAGGGTGTTGCAGTCTGCCCTGTCCAGCCTGCTCACATCCCTGGCTTTCATGCAAACTGGAAGGTGTGATAGCCTAGCCTAGCTTGGCATGGCCCATACCCCATTCTGGCTCCCACACATCAGTGTGCTATGCTTTGGCCTGGCAGTGCTGGGTCCACCCCTAAAGCCAACCCACACACCTGCTGACGAGTGAAGCAGCCCTGACTCATGTGCTCACCAGAGGGAGTTACCACCCACTGAGGGAGTTGCCCAAGTTCCCCCAATAAGCCCTTACCCAGCAATATGTCCCCCCAGCTCAGCCTTTGTGTGTGCTGGTGGATATTGTAGCCTGGTCCACCCCACAAACAATTTTGAGTGTGCATGTAGGTGATAGAGCCTGCACCAGCCCAGCCTGTTCCCAACCCTAGCTCCTATAAGTGTTGTTGAGTACAATGGTCATGCCCATCACCACCCCCAGCCCTGTAACAAACCAGCTGTTATGGCAATCCCACAGGGGTGAGCCAATGATCCCCCACCAAATCTGCTCTCAGACACAGTTCTCTCGTGAGCTCGTTAGTGTCATGGCCTAGCCTCATATGGTCTACCACCATCCCAACACGCACTGGTGTGTACCATGGTAGAGCCCTGCCAAGCAGGCATCCCAGCCATGTGCGCCAGCAGTTGGTGGTCAGTATCAATAAACCCAGTTCAAGTCTCCCATGTGAGCAGGTGTATTGGTTTGGCCCCCAAAGTTCCTCCAGCTTCCCTCCTCTAAACCTCCTGGTCTTGGCCCCCTCATTTACCTACAAGTTCATTAACCTGGTTGTTAGAAGCCCCCCAGAAGTAACTCCTCAACAGTCAAATTCTCCCTCAGCAGTCTTCCCTCTCACACATCCACAGACATGCCTCCCTGAGCAATCCACAGCTTCCCATGCCCGGTCCTATGGCGGCGTGCCATGCCAGTCTGGGGC